GCTGCATCATAACCAACCAGTAATCTGTTGCCAATTGTTTTCCTGTATTTGACCATTGCCTTGCTGTGATCATTTTCACAGAGGAAGACTTTGAAAAGGAAGGAGAGAGATGGGTTCAATGATTTGGGTGGGGTTTTTTCTAGCTTCGTTTACGGAGCAGATAATAATGAAGACACCAGAAGGAGGTGGCCGGACAAGAAGATAAACTAAATAAATCCTGCATATAAAATGATTAATTTAAAAAGATTAAAAAAATATATTGAGTTAGTTATTTGTAATAAATATGTATTTTTTGTTGGCAAAAAAAAATATGTATTTTTTAAAAAAATATTTTTACTAATCAAATGTATTAGTTAGAATTATTATTATTAAAAGAACTACCTTAAAAAATATATAAATATAAAAAATAAAATATATTGAAATGTTATATTTAAAATCAAAATAAAAATTATATAAAATAATAAATAAAAAAAATAGAACTTTTATCTGGGATCGTACTTAGCAGATCCAGAAGAAACAGTCAAAGAAGAAGCAAGTACTGTTCACATATACTATGTATCTTTCTTCTGTCAAATCAGATGTCTCTGATTCATCTGTCTGTCTTTTCAGTCTTTGGTGATCATGCGCATGCTAACTTCTTTGAACCTCAATTATTTATTGGTCGCCTTAACCGTAAAATTCAATCATTCAAACTATGCATATGTGTGTGATGAGCAATTATCATTATATATCAGATTATATTTAAAACTTTTAATTAATATACTATGAACTTGCTGGTCCCAAAAAAAAAAAAACTATGAACTGAGATTATCTTTCTAATATGAGTTGAACGATTAAGCAAGCCATGATTATATCTGTACTGTTTCACATCAAATCATGCTTGAGTTGGATTTGTAAAAGCGTGGATTATAAAGTTTAGAGTGGAATGAGTACTAATTTATGACAAAGACAGAGATAAGAATATAATAGGACTAAAAATTCTCATGATAATGAGTATTGTCGTCTTCTGGAGCCAGTTGGCGCTAATTAAGCAAAGGGACAAAGGGATTTGGGTGGCGGAGTTACTATTTGAAGGTCTTACGGTCTTGAAATGAGATTAACTTATTAATTGACCAGTCAAAGAAATGACAAATATACGTGTGTCACAATTTAACATAGTATAATCTAACATTATACATAAAAATTTTATAAAAATCATGTCATATTTATTATTATTTATTTATTTGATTTTCTAATTAATTTACTCAAACTAGTTAAATAAAGAGAGTATGAACTGTTTGAATTCTACGAATACAACAAGCATTTCCTGTTTAGATGGAATTTGCTCTATAGATTGTAAGATACCATTGAGCTTTGTCAATCATCAAATTTTTAGATAAATTATTAATTAAAAAAGTTATGCTAAATTAAAAAAAATTATACAAAGAGAGTTATTTACTACTTCTAATTCTTAATATAAAAGTTAATTGAATATTCAATTTGGACTTAAATATATAATATTATAATCCATTTTATTTCTCATATTTATCTTCTTTTCTTTAAAAGTAGTACCTAAAATGATTACATATGTAAGGTTTCATCAAATGATAGTTTCAATATACATGATTTATAAGAATATATTTAGGAAAGATAACACATGTTTATCATATAAAAACACATATTTATCATATAAATAACTAACTTAACTTGTTTTTCTAATATTTGTAAATTGGTTATCTGGGGCCTATATTAAATACCCAAACTTATAATATTACTTAAACTCAACCATACTTGAACATCAAACAGCTAGTTTCTATTGGCCTGTTAGTTTGTTAGAGAGAAATATGAGAATATTGAATGGATGTGCTAAGGGGTAGTGGTGATCACTTCAAGTTTGTTAAGTTAGTTATTTGTGATAATTAGGTATTGTATGAAACTAATCATGTATATTAGTTATAAGTACTATCTGATAGAATTTTTAACATACGTAACAATTACAACGTCTATTTTGGACAAAAATAAATAAATATGAGAGGCAAAGTGGATTGAGATTTTATATTTAAGATCAAATTGAATGTTCAACTAACTCTTATATTAAAGACCAGAGATAATATAATCTAACATTATAAATAGATATTTTATGAAAATATATTTATTATAATTAACTAATTTATTTGGCTTTCTAATTAATTTACTCAAAGTAGTTAAATAGATGGAGTATTAATTATTTGAGTTTTACGAATACAACAAGCCTTATCTACTTAGATGGAATTGGCTAAATAGATTGTATGATATTATTGTACTTTGTCAATAATCAAATTTTTAGATAAATTATTAATTAAAAAATTACACTAAGAGAGTTATTTACTACATCCAATTCTTAATATAAAAACTAGTTGGATATTTAATTTGAACTTAAATTTATAATATTACAATCTATTTTGTCTTTCATATTTATCTATTTTTTCTCAAAGTAATACCTATGGTGATTACACATATTAAAGGTTCCATCGAATGGTAGTTTCAATATACCTGATTTATATAGGATAGATAATGAATATTTATCACACAAATAACTAGCTTAACTAATTTTCTTAATGTTTCTAAATTAGTTATCCAGTTCTTATACTCTTTCCGGTTCTAAATATAAACCTATTATGTAGTGTAAATTATACTATAAAATAGATCTTATATTTAAAATCGGAGGAGTATTAAATACAGGAAGTAATATTACTTAAACTGAATCATACTTGAACATCAAACAGTTAGTTTCTATTGGTCTGTTAGTTTGTCAGAGAGAAATGTGAGAATATTGAATGGATGAGATGCGGGGCAGTGGTGATCTCTTCAAATGTTTGAAATTAGAGGAATACGTGTAAGGTTGTGAAGCAGGATTCAGTGTTTGCACGTTGCATCCACATGCATCTTTAACCAATTTTTATATTGATCACTATATATGTCCCGAAGTGGTTGGCTGCCTCAAACCTATCTAATCTTCAGCCACATGTCCTTAATTTCAACGAAGTAATTTCTATATTCTCATTGGAGATTACTTCAAACTCCCCAATTCATATTTAATTAATTATCACACATGCACAAGAAAATTTCTTCAATTGATCAGCTGTCACAAACTCATGGGATGCTCCACTACATATATTGCATCAGTTCATGCACTTCCCCATTTGAACAGTAAATTAGGTTCACTATTGTTTTTGGGGATGTTTTCAAAATCAAATTGCTTTTTGAATCAATACGAATAATTTACACTTTATTGATTGGTTGCAATTCCATCCACATCAAATTGATGATAATTAAATGTTAATATATCTGGATATTCTTTAGTCATCATTTGGAGGACATGACTTTATCATACCTAGGAAATGGGGTTAAACATATAATGAATTTCATTTAAATGCATGGCCCTAGCTAAGCTTGAACAAAAGCAACCTTTTATCAGGACTAGTTCAAATTTTCCAGATGTGGGATGATTATACACACAATTGATCAGCACAAACCAATTTTTAAGCCAGTTGGTTTATGTGGTATTTTGAACAGTGTGATGATTAGATTATTTAGTAATTTATCATGTAAATTAATAATTGATTCAATTTGATTTTCTAAAATACTACTCTTAGAAGAAGATGGTCTTATAATCAAGTGAGACTTGGGTAAGTCTCATTTTTTCCCTAACTTGGTAATCTTAACTTTTTTAAAGTAATGTAAATAAAGTATGTGAAATGTTCATATGGAATGTACCATTTTGTCTGGCTAATTGATGCCTACCATTTGAATAAGATGAATTACTTAAGTGAAGTTCATGGCTTTGTATTTATTTTTACATCTAAAATTAATAATATTGGTGAATTGAAAAATATTTCCAAATTGTTGAATGATTAGCAAAATTCAACATTTGATGCCAATAACTTTGTAATCTAGTAATATAGGAGCTCTGCTGCAAAAGGGAAGTTACGGGTTCGATTTTATTTAACCTCAAACCATTAGTATATGTGCTTTTAATTAAAAAAAAATTAAATTAGCATTCCGTGGAATTTAAGGGTATTAGTAATATTGTTATTTTTTCATGTCACAATATTCAAAAATAGACCTAGGGTCTGTTCAGATATGATCCATCTGGGCCCTAATTAAGGGTTAAGATTGCAAGTTGGTGTACTTGAGGATAAGTAGTTAATGAAACAAAGCATTTTCAACTTTCCAGATGATAGCTATGAGCTATATGGCCCCCCCTATTATAATCAACTTACACATGCCCATATTTTCCATGTGTCTCATTTCATCCATAATTTAGACGTGACTGCACCTTTGCTTCTTGTCCCTTTTGAATACACTGCATTTTCTCTTATTTTTCATAATTATTTTTTTCTTAAAATCAAAGTGAGCTTCACGCGTTATGTGGAATTTGATAAATGAGTGGTGTTGTTTGTAATTTATAAATAGCACAATTTATTAGTATTTTTATATTAGTCGCTTCATCATCTCTAATTGGTTTTAATTATTTTACATAAATGGATAAAAATTGTTAAAGTTTGTTAAATCACAAAAAGTTAATCGAGATTAGTTGAAAGTTTTTTTTTCTGGACTTGAGTTATAATTAGTTGGAGTTTTCCATCTTAACTGTATATCTCTCAATCATTCTCTCCATAACTTTTGGATTAGGGGCTTGTGTTGACAAAACAATTTATAAACTAACTTACATTTAAACACTAAAAATCTTTTAGAAAGCGACATATATGTAGGAATAAAAAGAGTACATATTAGATACATGGTAGGATCTGCGTTGCAAAAAGCCTAATATAGTAACTCGCGTTAATTCTAAATCTCAAGAGTACGACTTCACATAAAATAACTGTTATCTTTAATTCTAAATATAAGACTTAGTTTATAATGTAAAGCATAGTAAAAACCAGTTTTTATATGTTTAGGACCAAATGTAGTATTTATAAGTTGTCTGTCTGTTTAATCACCAAATAATCTCATTGACCAAATTTTTTGGGTGGGACATAGAAAATAGAAACAGAGCAGCATGTGGACAATGCACTCTCATATGATCCAAAATACATTCTTGGTCAAATTACAGTCTTGTCAAAGCTAATAAAGCCCATATTCAACTGTCATTTCTAGCTAGATAAACTATATATAAAAGATGATTAACAATATATATTAAGTTAATCACAAAAGAAAGACATGCATGGGATACATGATAGTAAGTTCTATCCCTAACAACCTTAATTAACCTTAATTAAAACTGTAACAATTAAGAAAAAAAGAGACACTAATCTCAATAGTATTATTATGAATCTTCAATTGACCATCCCATGGTAAAAAGAAGCTGCTTCATGAGATGCATGCGAATGCCTATTCTGTTACAGAGCTTCCATGTTCCATAAAGTGTCTGCCATGTTTCCTAACGTCCAGTCACTTTCTCCTGTTGGCTGATAATAATTAAACGGCAACATGTCGTAAGTTTCCATCATTGTCGCCGGTTCCTGCAGGTTCCAGTTATCCATTCCACAACCACCAGCAGTAGTAGTAGTCATATTGTTCACCAACAAGTTTTCCTGAATTGGGTTGCCGTAACAAGCATTGTTCTCCAACATATAACAATGGCTTGCTGGGAGTTCTAAAGGAGAAGGTTCCAGAAACTGCGAGAATTTCCAAGAATCAGAGGGAAAATTGCTGGGATTGGAGCAGAAAGTGCTGGAAAAATTTGCAGCGGGCTGCTGGAAAGATGATGATGATGGGGAACAGGACAGAGAATTAGGTATAACAGAGTTGTTATTGTAGTTGGTTGACAACATTGGAGAAGATGATGAAGAAGAAACATGAAGATTATTGGTGTCTGTGAGAGAAGAGTACGAGGTGGCTGCAGAAGAAGAGTTCTGTTGCTGTTCAACCTTTTGAAGTAATCTTGGCGTCCAGAAACACCGAATCGCATCTATGAATTTCTTGCTTCCAGATTCAATGTTTAGTTGGCGTGCTTGTTTCTGCACCCTGGTTCTCCAATAGTTCTTGATCTCATTGTCAGTTCTTCCTGGCAGATGCTGAGCAATTTTCGACCACCTTAAAAACGACCAAACCCAAACTTAGTTTCACCACAACATAACAACGAATTCATGCTAAAACATGAACAGATCATTAGCTATATTACCTGTTACCCCACCTAGAATGGAGTTCTAGGATCAAGAGCTGCTCTTGTGGGGTAAGGTTTCCTCGTTTGATGTCTGGTTTCAAGTAATTAAGCCATCTGAGTCTGCAACTTTTCCCATTCCTCTTCAATCCTGAATTGTTAAACCGGAAACCAATAACTTGTTTCAGTTCTATACAGTTATCAGTAAAGCTTTCTGTACTAAACAGGGAGTCTTTTGAGATGTTACGTACCTGCACTTTTGGCTAACATATTCCAGCGACCTTCACCATGGCGAGCAATATAGTGAATGAGGAGGCTGTCTTCTTCAAGAGTCCAAGGGCCTCTTCTCATCTCAGTACTGTTCTCTTCTTCTTTACTACTCATCTTATTACCTCTCTTTGTTATAGCAGACATGGCTCAGTTTCTTGCGGGCTTCTGCAACTGATGTATCAGATCAGCAAGAGAATTAATGCTAAATGCTAATAATAAAGCTGTGAAAGTGAAGCTCTATATGTATATAGAATAGAACTCTCAATGATGAGATCTCTGAGCTAGCTTGTCCACATACCTATTTATATACTCATCAAGAGAATATCTCAAAATGGGGTCTTAATGAAAAATAATCTGGTGCACAACGGAGTAAATTTTGACCATTAACCGACACGTGGATATATCAATCTGTTAACAAGTAACTACCTTTTTTACTTTATTTTCGATTTGAACTTTGAACAAGTGTGAGATAGGTGCTAATGCTATTGCCTATAATGGAATTTTTCGAGATAGGGTTTGGTACTACAGTGGATATATTTTCTTGCCCAGGTTAAGTTGCACAAATATAATGAAACAGTAATGTAGAAATGATATAATAAAACATAGATTTAGCATATTTTTTGACAGGAAAAAAATGGGATTCAGGCATATTATATTTGGATATGAAAATATTCGAGAGAACAGAGACATGTTCATACTTATTATGAGCCATTGGACAAGCATCAATGAAGCAAAACGGGAGGATGTCTACTTATTTACTCACAACTTCATCACACGAGAAAAAGGAAGAGCGCAGGCTGCTAAAATAAATAAGAAGGCCACATGCCACAGTCCAAATTAGATTTTTCCTTTAGATATCCTTTTTCTAGGAGATATTCTTTGGAAAAATGACCAATAAAGAACCTTCAAAATAAGAAATTCCAAAAAAGCCAGCTAACACTTCTGGGTGACAAGGAAGAAGGGAAAGCCTGAACTGGAATTATGAAAATGTAGGGAAATGACCAATATCCCTTTGTGTTAGCTTGAGAAAATGACTAGATTTGATCTAGGAATAATAAGATTGCAATAAATTAACAAGTTTGGAATGTAGAATGATAATATCTTTTTCTCAGGTGAAAGCATACGTCCATTTAGGAAAATAACTAAATTTGATATGAAAATTGGAATACAAAATAACAACATTTTTTTTCTGAGCATTACACATGAAGATGTGGATCATTTTCTTTTGTTTTCAGAATTCCAGTTCAGGTTTTTCCTCCTTCCCTGTCATTTGGAACTAGTAGCTGCCCTTTTTGAAATTTCCTATTTTTAAGATTCTTTTTTGATCATTTTCTCATATTCCTTCTGAATTGTTTCCTCCAAATAAAATATTCATATACACTAGAAATGTATCCATTATGATCATTATCTTATAGGAAAAAATTTCCAAGTTGAACTGAGTGGCATAGGCTCACGAAAAAGGGAACAACCATCATCATTAATTAAAAAAATTTGTAGAAACATTTACAAATTAATCATGAATGAAGTCTTCCTATTGGCAGATCCAATGAGATACTACTTCAGTCTCGTATTTCAAAGGACTTACCTTAGTCTCTATCATTTGCATTCAAAATATTCTTCATATATATTTTACCCTCTATTTAATTGGAGTAATTAGACTTGTTTGCGGATCATTAAATGAGTAAAAATTATGATACTAAGTGTAATTCAGGAAAAGATCAATTCGCAGCTACAGTTATGGTGAATAAATGAACACTTTTAATAACTTTAATACTACCTCCAGTTCTTAATATAAGAGCTCATTTAACTTTTGTTTTGGTCCTAAATATAAAACCCCAACACACTTTGTCTCTCATAAGTCTTTATAATAATGATAGTTCTAATCAATACACTTAATTAACAAGGATATTTTAGGAAAGACAACACATATTTATTACAAATAACTAACTTAACTAGTTTTCTTAATCTACTCAAATTAGTTAAATAATTCTTATATTAATAATTGGGGATAGTATATTATTAATAAGCATAATCTAGTTTTTGTCTTTTTTTCTTTTTGGTTTATCTATCAGATGACCAAAAAGAGCATGACGTGGGGTTGCATTGCATTATTATTAAAGTGGATCAACATTTGTTTGTGGTAATTTTAGCATTAAGACAACGAAGAAGACTCATTTCTCTTGGATTAACTATAAGATTTTAGAACTAATTAATACTCTATTTGGTCGAATTAAGAATTGTAGTTTAACTGATTATCCTCTGTATAAATTAAAAACACAACTGATGACTCCATGTTGTTAAACTCATTCTGTTTTTTTTTTTTTTAAATAACTCACACATTCATTACCTTTCTCGAATTCACAACTACCCTGTGTTTAGACATTTATATTAATATTTAGTGGTATTAATTAAGTAGTTATTTATTTAATATTCATAATACGGAGATAAAGCACAGTTGAGGGAAGATGAACGGGTGAGATAATCTTGTACGTGGTCCATCCTGAAAACAATCAAAGCTTGATGCGCGGCGGCTTTGGTAGCTGCGTTTTTTTGGTTTTCTATTTTTGGGGGGGGGGGGGTTGGAATTGGGTCAAATAAATAGGAGTATTTTTTGCCTTTTTATTGTATCTTCGATCCTAATTATAAGAATTAGTTGACTAATTTGAGAAGATTAAAGAAATAATTTATATTAGTTATTTATAACAAATATGTGTTATCTCTTCGAAAATATCCTTACTAATCAAATGTGTTGGCTACAAGTATCACTATTAGAAGGATTGTCTTAAAAAAATATATAAATATTAGAGACAAAGTGAATTTAGATCTTATATTTATTATCAAAATAAAAGTTAAATGAAGCCTTATATTAAGCACCGGAGGTAATATTATCAGCGAGTATTTAAACCTTATCCATTTAAGAAATCCATAGGGGCATATAATATAAATGATATATATTTCATATTTTTACCTTAAAAAAATCTTGTATTGGAGCATTCGGCCTATACAATAGTTGGTTAATACTTAATAGGGAGAGAATATACTACCTCCTCTTCCGATCCTTAATATAAGACCTTGTTTAATTTTTATTTTGGTTCCAAATATAAAACCCTAATCCATTTTGTCTCTCATATTTATTTATTTATTTTTAAGATAGTCCTTCTAATAATAATAGCTCTAACCAATAAACTTAATTAGCAATGATATTTTAGAAAAGACAACACATATTTATTATAAATAACTAATTTAACTTGTTTTCTTAATTTACTCAAATTAATCAATTAGCTTTTATTTTTAGAACAAAAGGTAGTATTATACTAATTCCAGTTGTAAATAGAAAATCCACTTTTGCACTATAAAGTAGGCTCATCTTATATTTAGAATAAGATGTAGTATTATATTGTGAATTACTGAAATATTGTTCATTATGATTTGACCATAATAATCAAAACACGACAAATTACATAAAAGTATGTATTTGAAATAAAAATAATATCCCTCCCATCCTAAATATAAGAACTAGTTAGGAAGTTAGTTGTTGTTTTAAATGTAAGATTTTAATCAATTTTATTTTTCTATATATGTTAGAATTAAATAATCTATTTAGTTTTTTTTAATATACTCAAATTAATTTAATAGATCTTACAAGGAGTACTATCAATCAAAGCTAAATATGTGAGCACTATTGTGTTGAAGCAGTTTATTTTAATAAGCTATTTGAAATAACTGATGAAAAAGAAAAGTTAGATTTTTTTTTATATAAATAAAGTGAATTGAAATCTTATATTTAAAATTAAAGTAAATTTCTTTACTTACTCTTATATTTAAAACGGTAGGTAGATAGGAAATCACCACAAGTTATTACTCTCCTTAACAGGTTGTTACAGAAATCCTTGGCTAACGTCATTTCTACTGATCAACAATTTGTAATCGAGCAAGATATTTATCTAATGTTGGGGAAGTTCTCCCATATCACTACTTTTACATATTTCCCCCTCCCTATTTCATAATCTTATAAACCTCCTTTAATTTATAGATATTATATAATCTCAATTTCTGTTAATAGCTTGTTATCCTAGCCGCAATATGAATAAGGTCTCATGTTTGATTTAAATATTTGTAATCAAAAAAGAAAGAGCCGGCCAATAGATAGAGGCCAAGTTACAAATAAACAAGCGTTGGTCGCAGGTCTCAAGTCCCCATTTCATATTGATCCCGCTTACATCTGATAAAGTTGGAGCCCTCTTTATAATAATCATTGCATTCTTTACCACAACTGTGCAAGCATATTAATAAATAACAACACACTGTTGAGCGAGATAAAAGAAGTGAAAACGACGTCGCCTTAAAATTTAGAAATAAATTATTAAAATTACTAAATTACACGTTCTTAAAAAGCAGAAGGGCGTGACCAAAGATTAAGACAGAAACCAGCTGATTACAGTGTTCGCAAATGTAGAGAGACGTGTTTGACTGAACATAAAAACAAAAACAAAAAAAAGCCAAAAACACAAACATATGGGAGGAGTGAGAAAATTTGAAAAGATGGCAAAATACAGAGAACTTAAGATCAAAGGCCGTCGGCAAATTAGCAAATGGAAAGCCAGTTTTTCATGAGTTGGTAGTGACTAGCGACCGTTTAAATCTTAGGATGCTGCCACCAAAATTATGAACGTCCCAACCGTCACCCCAGCCACCCTTGTGGGTATATCAACGGCTCTGATTCTGTTTAGAATCCACGATAATGATGGTTCGTTTCAGACATATTGTCAAAATGATAGCCATATTTGAAAGCTATCTTACTCAAAATATAATGCAACTACGTACGCTTTTGGAAAGTCTTGTGCGCCTCTTTTTATATTATTTTCTTATTCAAATTATTCAGATATACTACCTTCGGCCCTAATTATAAGTCCTCATTTGTAAACTATAAACGAGGTCTTATAATTAACACCAGAAGTAGTATATAATAATCATTTAAAATAACAATAATAATAATAATATATCCACGTAAATTTTCATAGTGAAATAACACGTTTTGTCCTTTTTGTGTTATATAGTGTTTTTTTTTGGGCCTGATTTTGTGTTACATGATTAGAACAACTGAGCTTATTTGACCCTTACACAGTTCTTCAGATGTGACAGTTTAAGACCTGGCCTAAAGTTATCAGCCCATTAGGCCGTAGGCCCATATTTGCCATTAGTATGGATCAAAGGCCCAATATGCAATACCCATCTCACATCTGACCCAAATAAAATTCTTATCCTTTCTTGTACCAAAAATCTTTGTCATCTTTTCTGGATTGAATGAGAAAGATCTGTCATTGACAACACATCTCCGAAGACTAATAACACTTATAAAGGTATTTATGGATTGCCAATGTTGCAAAGCTTTTAAATTATTTGTAAAATTTAAACAACTTTATATGCTAAATTCTCACCAACTAGATCAACATGGATTGGCTAGGTGATTTGAACGTTATGTGTTCATCTAATAAATATAAAATAACAAATCCTAATAAATAAATATAGTATCTTTTAATGTTAAAAAAAAATATAATTTCAACTGAACTTTAGTTTATAATTATTAAGCGTAATTGTGTAAATATACAATAAAAATGAGGAAGGAAAACTCATCTAGATTCTATTCCGTAAATTATTTCCTAATTGTGAAAGAAGTGTGGATTTAAAACTTTAATGAACCGAAGAAGGAAAATTCCATTACTTTTGATAAGTTTAACTGTCTCTTGTTATACTTCCATTTCACCAAGCAATCCATAGACAAATCAAAATTAAATGTGAGTAAAAATTATAAATAGAATTCCACGTAAAATAGCTTCATGTGTTACTTCTCAATAAATTCTGGAGTCCATGTAAAACTTGATTTTTAATTAAATACCAAGTTCCATTTGGGCATGCCTTGCTTCACAAGGATTATTTTTAAGTTCCTGCCCGTTCGATTCAATACTAAATTTGCTTTTCTTACATCAAAAAGTAAATTTGCTTTAACATGTTTCAATTTAAATTGATTTGAGCCATACATACGCATAAAAGTTGAACAAATTTGTCAAGTTAAGGAAACCATTAAATTAATTAAGTTCTGGAAATTTTGGATAAGGACGATGACAGTTTTGCTTCCACTCAACCACCGAAATTATAGTCAAGTTTTAAAATTGGAGAAATTGATATATCATATCTCTATATGTACCTCATATATGTCCCCTATCTATAATTATATTGACCTTAAAAAAAACTTTTAGGTCCCCACAAAACATTGAGTAAGAATGAGAGGCAAAGAATGGAATTAAGATTGATAAAACTCATTAAAGGAATATTTAGTAAAAATGATTGCTTGTTATTTGAAATTGGGTAAATTCATATACATGGGATTGGGGAATACTACATCCTCCCATATGAGACCCTACTATATGATACTATCTCCTGCCAATCCTAAATATAAGAAATTAAGAACTAATTAGAGATATAATTAGATTTTAAAAATAAATTCTAACTCACTTTGTCTTCCAAATTTATTTATTTTTGCACAAAATAATTACATAGTAATTGCACACGTTAAATGATTTTTATTCTAATGTATATGATAAATAAGGGTGTTTTTTTTAGAGAAGATATTACTCATTTATTATAAATAACTAACTTAACTAATTTTCTTAATATTTAAAAATTAGTTATCTAGTTTTTATATTAGGCATGGAAGGTAGCTTTATGCTTCATGAATGGTTTAATTATGTATTCAATTTTGATCTTTTAAGTAGCTTTTGAACGATGCTGAATTTTCCGGGATGGAGAATCATAAAGTAGAATATTATGTTACACGCTTATAAAATTTAAAATGATGCGTGGGAACATTATTTACTGATTCTCAAACTCAACATGACTTTTTTCATTATTTTTTCACTACCGCAACTTTTCTCCAACTTTTTTTTTTTTCCTCGTTGTGGTTCTTAATCATAAATATCAAATTTTCATTGTCCAAATTAATTTATCCTTTTGTTTCAAAAGACCAAAGAAAAAACAAAGAACCAGCAGGATCTTTAATGGGGGAGGCAATTTTTTTCAAATTATATTAAAAATGTAATGGTATAATTTTTTAAATAAAATATATTTTTTATTAAAAATTAAATCAAATAACTCACCGACAATATTTTTTCTTTATTTTTTATAAAATAAAAACACATCCAAATTTGTATGAGAAGCGTATTAATATCCATGAGGAAATTATTTGCATACGAAACGATTTATATGTAATGATTATTTATAAGAAGACACTTAAAAATTTCAAAACCACTCAAATATTGTCATTATCTTTTCACTACTGCGGTTTTTCTCCACGTTTTTTTTCGTTGTGGTTCTTAATCATAAGGATCCAAATTTCATTGTTCAAATTAATTTAGCCTTCTTGTTTCAATAATAAAACATTAAATCTAAACCTTCCAGATTTAATTTGATAATCCAGATCTACAACTGACTTTCACTGCAATGGAGAAAAGTTTTGGGTGCATTAAAAATATAAATACTTAAAATTAAAATACACATTATTTATCTTCAATTAATAGAACAACAAGATAAGGCGTATTTAATTTTATGAAATGATCGAAAACAAAAAATGTACATAAATTTAATGATTGAAGGGATGCATTTTGTGGTGGTTGTGAAAGTATATATAATGGTTAATGGACCCTCCACATTAGAAGAACTTGAAAGTAATACAATGCATCTTGGCCAATCATACATGTCTCCCATGAACTAATGCTCCGGGCTCGTAGGACCGACACAGCTTTCTAACCAAATTATATAAAACATCATTCATTCTTAATCAGTTATGTTTCTCTTATGCTACTTTCAGAGCTAAGGTCTGATGTGTGTGTGTGTTATAAATATTATGCTTCCAATATGCATATTCTGATAGACGGAAATTTAGATAAGTTAGATATCAAGAATTTACGAGTCATAATGCATGTTTTACGACTCAAAAGTACCTATAAAGATATACTTATACCACTCGATATTTACATTAATAGTGAGTTTTAAAGCCATATTGTTGTGTGATATGAGCCAATCCCTTACCAATTGAACCAATCTTCAATGATTCAATTGTGTATATACTTTTATAATCTTGTAGGTCCAATTACACATATAACATAAAGCTCACATATATTATAAATTAAATAGAGTACACTGCTGTTGTTTTGTAAAATCCAAATATATGTGCATCAACTAAGCATTATATATGAAGGTTCCAACGCGTTTAACTGCATTCCTTGTATCTAACTCGTTAGCCAACATGATTGATATATCAAGTCTATAAAAAGGAATTAATGAAGCATGAAAATTGAAACTTTTTGAAGAAAGTGGTCGTCTCTCGTCTCTCTAGTTAAGCAATCAAGGATTTGTCATCATGGATCAACGGCTTAAGCATCCACTGATTCAGTCATCAGAAAGCCTAGGGGAGAATTCTTCTTCTCTGCATTCTGCAGATTTTCCAGAAATGAGAAAGGTTAAGAAAATTATCTTATCTTATGCTTTAAAAAACTTGTTCTGGTTTTTGAAGTTCATTGCTTAATAAAAATTAAGGGTTTCTGTTATTATGTTGTTGCAATTAACAGAAAGCAGTTGGATTGAAAAGGAAGAGAAACAATAGCAGGATTGAAGAGAAACAGAAAGAAGTAATCCATGTAAGGGCAAAAAGAGGTCAAGCTACTGATAGCCACAGTTTAGCAGAACGGGTACGAGCTCAAAAACCAACCCCATTATAAAATTCGTAGCCCCCAGGTTCGAGATAATACATTTTTTTTTTTAAATTGCCAGGTGAGAAGAGAGAGAATCAACGAGAAGCTGAGATATTTGCAGGACCTGGTTCCAGGCTGCTACAAGGTTAAATGATCAGAAATCAGAATAGCCCTTGACGTTATAATATGTTTGTTTAGTACATGTTTGTAACAAAGTAGGGCCCTTTTTTATGAATTTGCAGGCAATGGGAATGGCAGTTATGTTAGACGTGATCATAAACTATGTTCTATCGCTACAGCAACAGATTGAGGTGATTAATATGGTGGTGGTATAATTCATTATTTTCCCACATTAGTTTATAAGATATATCCTCCCTGCTGATATTAAATTTCCCCTCCTTTTCTTTAAAAGTTCCTTTCCATGAAGCTCTCAGCAGCAAGCATGCATTTTGATTTCAACACCTACCAGATAGATACCCTCCAAACTATGCAGGTACCCCTTTACTGTCATCCGCGTTCTGTACTTGTTTGAGACGTATCATACATACATACACATGTACATACATACATACGAACTTTTCTTGACCAGCTAATGAGAGGCTTATGTGTTGCAGAGAAGTACTAGCACAGATGGAATCCAAGGGATGGAAAGGACTGAACAAGAAGGTTATGGAAGTTTTGCTTATTGGAATCCTACATGGCCACTTCAATAGGAAAAAAATTGGTCTTGGTTTCGGTTGGAAACCTCAAAGTTATTATGAAATCCAAATATGAGTTCTTTCATACACATAAATTAGTTGGAGAACTGTAGGATGAAACTCTGTAAACCAAATACACTGCAACTTGTGTTGATTTTTACTTTCCCAGTCATCATCAATATGTTCAAGATCTGAAATGTAACTTTCATATTCATGAATTTATAATTAAAAAAAGGGCAAATTCATTTCAGAGCTCTCTGAATAATAGTGACAATTTACTGCAGCTTTTTTTTTTTTTTAACTGACAATTAAGTTAATGAGATATGGTTCACAAGCAGAGGGGGCTTAACAGATATGTCAAAAACAAGAGTCCAATTTGCAGAAACAGATGCTTACATAGATTGACAAGTGAAGATGAAATATCCCGAGTGTCTACACTGTCAGTGGTCATGATCTGGGGTCTCTTAAATTGAGTTAGATTCATGTTAGTTGGTAACATATTGGGATGTGATAGGGTTTGTTGGATTAATAAAGAAGCGAGTGAAAGGGGCGAGTACAATGGATTGTTCATCAAAATTTGGATGGACCAACCTCTTTAAATATTGAAGACCTCTTCAACAGATAAAGACGCTTCATAAAGATACAACAAACAAGAAAATGTGATGCAGGATATGGATTTTGCGCGTGGGACAGCAAGGCCAGAATGTTCTATCTACATGCACGCACATAATTATCTTGACCAGTTTTGTACATTGATAAGAATGAACAATACTTGTGTTGTTACTTGTTATTTTAAATTTGATGATTGTAAATGTGAGGTTGCAAGA